GTTTTTATGATTGTTAGAAACTTCAGGGGAGGTTTTTGTATTTGTTTGCGCCTATTCTAAGGTATTATTATAGGGTTAAATACTTAAAAACTATCMCTAATTGACAAAAACTTGTCCTGAGAAAATTTTGTGTCAATGCCTTGTACTTTGGGCCTGATGCCACTTTGGTCGCTAAACTTTAAAATGTGACAATTTAGTACCAAATTTTTAAAACATGACAATCTAGTACCTATTATTAATTAACTGTTAATTGATCATTAAGTGGCATTTGAAAAAGACACAAATGCCCTTCGAGTGTCATCTAATTTCCTTTATCAATCATCCAAACGTTRACAAAAATTAACAGTCTTAAATCATTGCCTTTTCTATTCAATAAAATTGGGGTCACYGGAATGCCCACTCAAACTAACCCCAACTTTCTTGAATGGAAAAGGCAAAGATTTGGGACTGTTAATTTTTTGTCAACGTTTAGATGGTTGATAAAAAAAATTAAATAACACTTAAAGGGCATTTGTATCTTTTTCAAATGTCACTTAATGGTTAGTTAACAACTAATTATAAAAGGTATTAGATTGTTACGTTTTAAAAGTTTGAGTACTGAATTGTGACATTTTAAAGTTTGAGGACCAAAGTGGCAGTAGGTGCAAAGTACAGGGTATTAATTGGGAATTTTCCCTTATTTAAAATATTGATAATGGACAAAATCCTTCCCTATTTTTAGGGTGTGTTTAGAACTATGGATGTTTATTGAATAAACATTGTCATATAGGCGCCATTTTAGAGCATTTCTCCATTAAATGAATCCATACACTTTGGGACTTGTAAAAATAGAATTCGGTTTACGTGCATACCTACTGTTGGCGAAGCTTTATTTTAACATTTCCCTTAAGGTAGGCATTTATTTACGCCCAAGTGTCAATAAATTGACTTATCATTACTTTTTTCGGTTTTTCAAACAAAACAAATATTAAACATATAGTTGCAAACACATACTTTCTTAGTATACCGTTAAAATTCATTCACATGTAATGTCAAAGTTACCCTTTTACAATCCATTTTGCCCTTTATTCAGAACAAAAACTCAACAGCTTCAGCATTTTACATCATTCCAAGCTTAGCTTTCGTTGCTTCATCTTTCAAGGCAATTGCAACCTCCGATATCTTCTGAGCCCTTTCCTCGAACATCATACTGTTAAGCCGAGCAACTTCCAAAGAGGCAAAGAGGCAAATAGCTATTGAGAACAGAAAAGAAACAGAGAGGCAAATAGCAATTGAGCGACAAGATGCAAGAGACCACAATAATGCTTTCACACATAGCCACCATTAACGCAAATGGTTTTCCCATTAACCCAGTCACCAGCATCAGTAGCCAAGCAAGAATCCAACAAGAGGGGCCACGTCTTGGGTCTCATCGAGTTGACTCAAAGGACACTCCTCAATCACCTCCCTCAGTTTCTCCTCTGCTTTCTCGGAAAAGAATCCGATACCACACAGTTGGCAATGATTTCCCATCTCCTAGAGCTCCTTCGTTAGTAT